ACAAGATCCTTCTGGCCAAACAGTAAGCAACTGAGAGGGTTAGAAGAAGTGGCCCTTAGGTTGGGCTTACCTGGACAAAAGCCAATAAGAGCAAATATTTAAAAGGCACACTCAACTGACAAATAAGTTTCTTGTTGGAGTCATTTTCTCGGGTGTAATTGCAAATGTTCCAAAAAAGGGGCCAGACTACGAATGACAAGACTTAGAATAGCCAAGGTTAAAGTGTCAGTATATCTAGACATTTTTATGCATGCAGCATTTTAGAAAATAATTATGACTTATCAGTATTACATCAGAAACACTAAGCTTTCCTTATTACAATTAGGAACACATGGACACAAACCTGTAGAAAACTAACATCATGAACAGTTTGAATCTAACACCTATATGGTAAAGGTTTTTCCTAAGCTTTTGCACTTCAGAAGGCTTGTATTTTGCAGAAGCTTAAGTACATTACAAAAGATCCAGTAGCAACTAATACAGCTACATAGATGTCAGGTATACATATTACTTTAGTTTTTCCTTGGAGTAAAATTTAGGATTTTGGTTAGGTAATATAATAGGTGTACAGCATTGACAAAAGTCAGTATTTTAGATCTCTTACAGGTTAAGGGGACAGTGCTTGTGAACTCAAATAGCCTTATTTCTTAATGGGCAAATGTAGCTTATATATATACAATAACATTCATTTGGCTAAGACAAATATAGGTCAGATTTTAAATAGAGGGTTGCCCAAATGGTTTTTTTTTTTTTTTTTACTGATTACAAAACAACAGAATTGCCAAAAGTTTAACCATTTTTAAATGTCAAAGGTTTAGATGGTATACATTTGAACAAAAGAAAGCATTACCTTTTCATTTTACATATACTAAACGGACACACTTTTAACTCTGCATATGTTTGCACAATATTTAGATAAAGTCTAGACACACATCTCTACACACTTTTAGTTACAGATATGTGGAGCACTAATTGTGTTAGCATTGCTTAGAATAATAGTTGTTTCACCATATAGTCATAAAGGTGCAATTTTAGAAACTTGTACATGAGCAAATACTTAAATAAAATTCTGATTTAGTTAAGGCATAGTTTCCTAAGTAGTCAAAAGCTTGACAAGATCAACAGAAAATACCGGCAATTATAATAAAATTATAAAATCTTTCCTTAAGCTAGTTTCTTTTTTTTTTCTTTATTCATTTGTTCACATGTGCATACATTGTTTGGGCTATTTCTCCCCCCAGCCACCCACCCCATCCCTTTCCCCCACACCCCCCTCACTTCCAGGCAGACCCTGTTCTGCCCTTTTCTCCAATTTTGTTGAAGAGTAGACATAAGCAATAATAAGAAAGACATAGCGTTTTTGCTAATTGAGATAAGGATAGCTATACAGAGAGATTCCTAGCACTGCTTCCATGCACAAGTGTATTACAACCTGAATTGATTCACTTCTACCTGACCTCTTCACTACTTCCCGGTCACCTTCCCATATTGACCTCTGCCACTTTAAGGTTACTGTATTAGCTCCTCTGCAGTGGGGACATCAAACACTTTCATGTTTTGGGTTTCCTACCTATCCCCATTCCTCCCGTATGTGCTCTCCCCTTAGCGTGTGACCCAAGTCCAACCACATTGCTGCATTTGCCCTAGATCTAAAGTCCACATATGAGGGAGAACATAGGATTTTTGGTCTGCTAAGCCTAAGCTAGTTCCTTATAGATTGGACTCAGAGCAGAACAATAGTAAGACAGCTTTGTTATTACAGACAGAGAATTAGGTTTTAATTTTACATCAGTACACCAAACTTTGACCACAGGAAATTCTTTAGGAATGTTTAAATTGCAGCCAAAAATGAATTACATACATAAACTTTTGAGAAGCTTTGAGACCTTTCTAATTTGCACTTTGACATGATTGCTACAAAATTTTGAAGTCAGACAAAATTGTTTCTTTTTAAAAAAAATAAAATGAAATACTCTATTAAGACTTATATTGTAATACAGACTCAGGAAGAAAAGCAATCTTAAACTGTTTCACTATACAATAAGCAATTTATAAAAGCACGTTTGTTAATAGATTCAGTTATAAAAGAAATGAATGCAAATTACACTTGTGACAAAATAAAACAGATCAGGGTAACTGTCCACACAGTCCTTTTCTTTAGTCCTAAGGCAGAGGAAACACCTGCATTTTAGTTAAACCTGGTTGATATAAGAACTTTGAGAAAAACTTTTGGTTTGTTTTTTTTTAAAGAGTGGCAGCAGAAGAGATGGGGGGAGAGAAGAGAACAGAAGGAACAGCTCCTTTACACAAACTCTACCATAAGAATCATCCTAATGGTGATCACACACATGCACATGCAAAAACACAAAAGTTAGGCATGCCATAAAGGTCAATTTAAGTGTGCATGGATTTAAGAGCTCAAGAACATTCAAGAACTAATTAAGTGACCATGAGTACGTTGGCCAGTTATTTCTCAAAATTTTAGGAGCAGATTGAGATGTGATTCATTTTGTTCTTTTAGGACTCATTTTGGGTGGCTTGATAGCTGAAGCAAGAGTCAACTCTACTAAGTGTTTTGATTCAGTCTGTTTTCAGTAAGACTGCTGCCTTAGCCATCAGAATCTCAGTCTCTAACAAGTCACTCATCATATACTGATGGATGTACACAAAATACACACAATGACATACAAAACACTAATTTTGAGTGCACTCTTAAACACTGTCTTTTTGTTTTTAGTAAACTAGTCAGCTCTACAGAACTGTAAAATAGGTACAGTGTGTGTGTGGCAGGGGGTGTTCCTGAGGGAGGGGGAGGGGGAATGAAGGAGATTAAGTGAAGGTTTATGGTGGATGGACTTCATACACTTACATGAAATAGAACAAAGAAACCTCTTGCAATTGCTGTAAGTGGGGCAGGGAGGGGGGTCGAGGGGTAGAGATGGTGGGTGTGATGTATAATATATGTACAATATAAGCCTATTTGAAATTGTCACAATGAATCCCCTTTGTACAAAAAAATATCTAATTAAAAAAAATAAACCAGTCAGCTTAATTCTCCCTGGGGGAGGGGCCAGATGGACCTTCTTGCTTTATACTCAAGTTAACTACTTTAAGTGCTGCCTCATATATTCCAACCAGAAGCAGGTGATCATGTGGCCTCTTTCAATATTAACAGACTTTAGATTTACTCCTAGTGGGTGCTTTTTAAGTAATCTCTAATAATAGTCTACCTTGGGTTATAGCAACTTTGTTATTAGCCAAATCTTTGAAGTAAATTTAGGGAGCCTAGTCTGGGGTATAGAGTTGGCATCCCATATCCTCCTCCAGACAAAGGATACAGGATGCATGAGTCCACCCTCTTATTTTACACCAAAAATTAGTTTTCAAATCAGAATTTGCATGTCAGACAGGAAAAGGACAGACAGGTGCAGTGGAAAAGATTACGTCTCCACTGAATCTGGTGATGTCTGGCTATCTTAGTAGGCATGGGAAAAGATAGAATGAACTGCAAGACTTAGTTTCAGGGAGGAAATCCAGAATGCCTTATTGAACCCGTAGCAGAACCCAAGAATGCTGTCCTTTGCTTTTTAACTAATGCCACAGCCTGAAATACTGAGATCTCAATTTTAAATACAAGGGGTTTTGTAGGAGATAAAGAAAAGCTTAGATAGAGAATTGAAATTCCTTTTTTGGTCTGTCCAGCCTGTGTGCACGTAAGGCTGAGGGCGTGGCTGTGTAACCTGACCCTGCCTTGGCTAGGAGAGCAGATGGGCCAGCCCATGGTCACCACCTGCAGTGACCTGGATGTGATCTGTTCCCTCTCCTGGTCTTGACATGTCTGCAATGGGGAAAATGGCCCACCTTGAAAGCAGACTTAAAGACTTAAAGGAGAAAATTATTAGTAGAGTGTTCAGACAGATTTAGAGGTTTAGAATTAGGTGGAAAAAATCTAGGCAGAGAAGCAGCTACAATCTCCAGCCTCATGTCATTTAGATTCTCAATTGATTTTATGTTTTCTGTCCTGGGACCATGTGAGTCACTCAGGAGGCTAAGAAAACTGACAGGACTTCTCTCTCTTCTCTTTTCTCCTCATCCATCTTTGCCTCTGTTGTCCTCACTCAGATGGCCAGTCCAGGAGGAGACAGGAGCTGGCTTGGAGTAGGAGAGGTGAAAGAAACTTCCATTATGGCTGAAACAGATTTAGAGAGAAAATCAGCTGGTTTGAAGTCAGAGGAGGAGGAAGGATTTTTTTTTTTTAAGGGAAAAGAGAGAAATCTGAGGGGATTTTCCCTTTAAGAGGAGAATATGATAAGGCAAACAAGATTGACAGAGGGCCTAGAGAAGAGATGAAAAACAAATGCCTTGATACAGGGAACCTTGGATCACTTGGCACTGCAGTGGAGAGAGCCTTTGAGGTCTTGTTGAGTTTGGAAATCAAAGATTCCATTTTAGGTCTAATAGTTGTCATGACTGGGGCCAGATCATATTAAAATAGAAAATTAGGCATTTGGGCTTTACTGTAGGAGCCAGACCCAGGGTCTGAATATTCCAGAAGAGACATCCAAGTGGGGGAGGGTGTCCCAAGGGGGTTTAGATGTGTCCTATCCCATGGTGTCAAATTTTTAGGTGTTCGTACCAGGAAAAATCAATCATGATGCCACATGGGTTAAGTTAGTTTGATTCTTATCCAGGATCAGTCAAAGAATGACAGCAGGTGAGTAGTGAACAAGAGAAAGTTTACTGAAGTACAGAAAGACAGAGAACCTACACAACAGGGTCAGAAAGACTGAGCCATAGCAACTGCGACATGTAGGGGTTTTTAATCCAGTTCTTAGGGTAGGTTTCGTAAGCTCCTGGAAACAGCTTTCTGATAGGTTGGTTCTAGTTTTGCTTCCTTACAAGGTCTTGACTCATTTTTTTCTGTTCTTCCCTGAGGTTGTTTGTCTTTGCACTTTAACTGTTCCTTTCCCCCTTGTGCACCTGGGCCCACATCCTGGTAACACACTTAGAGGAAGTGCTGTCTGAGCTCTCATCCTCCTGCTTTTGCTCTCGTGCTCTACTTCTGCTTCCTGGTGAGTTCAGCCAGCTATTTCTTTCTAACCCTCAGCCCCGTCTGCCTAAGATCAAGCTAGCTGCTAACATTTTCCCCCTCTGAAGAGGAACCCTTGACTGCTTTTAGGGATAAGGGGTGGTGACTGTCTGTCTACTTCCTGTTGAAGATGGGTGCTGTTGGGCAGTCAGTCTGGGGGTCTTACTGCAAGGGTTAGTATAGGGGGTCTCAACAGAAGCATGGAGGAGGAAGCAGCAGCTCCGTGAGGAGCTGTGCTTCCGGCATCATTTGTATCTTCATGGATTCTACGCAAGAGGAAACAAATTTTACAATCAGACCTAACAAGTAGGGAGCAGAAATAAGAATAGGAGAGTGATGATGAGGGTGTCCAAGAAAAGGAGTGCTCAAGCAGAGAGACTGTTGCCTATAGGGGAAGGTGGACTGTGGCGCCAGCTGCTCTGGACTCCAGTTTGTTCCTTAATGTGTACGTTGACTTTGATTACTTGTAGGTTTTCTTTAACTATCCTAGATGAGTCTATATACATGTAACTGTCTAATTTAACAGGGCATATAGACCTCTGCAACTGCAGTGATCATCTAGGCCTCTCTGATTTTGTAACATTTCAGCCAAAGTGTCAAGACTCAATTGCAGAGCCTCAATTGTATTTACTGTATTCATGACCAGAATAGTCAGATTTAATATGGGTTGTCTTAAAAGGGGTATTTTAATAAACCAGAAGAGGCTCCTAGCAATGCCATTTCCTATCCTAGGAGTTTTAAATATATGGTTTCTTTGGCCATGGTCACCTCAGTCCGAGTTGCTAAGGTTGGTGTCAGGGAGAAGGCCTCTGTATTTTCTGGGCCTTAACCTGGTCTGAGTAAGTGATTGTTTTAAGAAAGAGTCCAGATTAGGAACGAATCCAGAGTTATTAGGAAGACTATTAGATGAAACATGAGGTGCAGGTCTTAGTGTGACGATATGCAAGGGGCTATACTTAGAAAATCTTAATGAGCTTAAATGTGGAGGAGATTCTAAAATATAATGGCAATAGAGTAAAAGGAAAAGTAAAGAAGGAGTCTGTCAGTGATTCTCACTTGGGAGAGTGGGGACTATCACTGAGTATAGCCTTATCCCCAAAGTAATTAATATAGGTATTTTAATGACAAGTTCAGAAGAATCCAGAATCACTTATCTAGAGGGGGTTGATATCTTCCTGAAGAGTAGTTTGAGGTCCTCTAGTGGTTCACACGAGTAGGATTTAGGTGCCACTTTAGGTTTATCAGGCTCAGAGGACTCTTGCTTTTGATGCCAGGATTTGACCCAAGAGTGATGTATCCAGGTATGGATTTAGGGGGTAGGCAGGAGAACTGTGTAGGGTCAGTTCAACATGGGATCCAGGGAAGGAACTAGAAAAGGTATAACTTAACCAATACGAAATCTCCCAGATTATACAGAGGGGGACCTAATTCCCTTGGACAGGCCACTGATATCTTTTGTAAGCTCTTCTGAAACAGAGAGAGAGAGAGAGAGAGAGAGAGATGACATGTTTTAATCTGGGTGCAGGGAGATGTAGAAAAAGACATCTCTTAAATCCAGGACTGTAAATCATTCTGATCCTTTGGGAGTTTTGGGATAGTAAGAGGGACAGTATAAACAGTCAAAGGAACAGGTATTGGGGATGGCTGGGTGAATAGGAATCACAGCTTTTTTGATTAACCTTAGATACTGGACTAATCTCCATTTTCTGTTTGACCTTTGTACTCCAAGAATGGGAGTATTAGATGGGCTCTGGCAGGGGCAAAAGGAGTCCCTGCTGCTTAAGGGATTTAATGATATCTTTACGTCTCTTTCTAGTTTTAAGTCTTAAGGGATATTGTCTTTTGGTGAGGATAGGTGGAGTCATCCTTTAGGTGCATGCATGCTGGGACTGTGTTTATGGCCCTATTAATCTTGGTATGAGATGACCACACCTCAGGATTGACCTCTGTTTCGATTAAAGGTATGCAGAGAGGTTGACCAGGCCCCTTAAGGACCAGAGTCTGCATTTGAAACAAGATCTCCCTTCCCAACAAGGGGTGTGGGACTCTCAGGCATAATCAGAAAGGCATGAATAAATAATGTACCATTTCGTCCACAGCTAAGAGTTGGTGAGAAGCTTGTAGTGAGAGCTGGTCAGAGACTCCCCTTATGGTTACTCAGTTAGTGGAGGAGAAGCCAGGATTTGGAAGGAGGACAGAGGAGGCAGCTCCAGAGTTGAAGAGGAGGAAACCAACTATTACCTCCTTTCCTTTAGGGCAGCTTGATCAGGGGCCTTGAGGGGAGGGCTCGGGGCAGCCAGACCGTTTGTTGGACCATCAAGGAGGAGTCTGGTCCCCGTGGAACTTGATCTGGTGGAAGGGAAATCTAATCTAGCCTTCAACTTCCTATTCCCAGTCAGTCCCTCACATTCAGTGCTAGCTCCAAAAGTTCAATAAAGGATCCTATACATCAGTAAATGAAATCTTCAGATTTTTCAACAACAGGGATGAGGAACAAAGGGAGGCAGAGCTTTAAAGAAAATGAGCTCAAGGAGAGAGGACAGATAGAATCTATTCATTTAATGGAACTGCTATTAGCAACACTATTGGAGCCTGAGTTACCCTAAGATGGTCAGACAACCCAAAGCCTCCAGCAAGGGCCCCAACAATGGGACCTGCTTCAACTGCAAGCGATCTGGCCTCTGGAGCAAGGAATGTCCCCAGAAGCAGCCACCTCCAGGACTTAGTCCCCAATACAAACACACAAGAGAGACACTGGAGAGGAATGTTTCTTTTCTTAAGAAAGGAGGGACCAAACCTCTCCAGGGATTAAATGGTTCCCTAAGGGGAGCACCTCTAGTCAGCTGGCTGCTCCTGGACTTCTGGACACAGAGGATTGATGGGCCCCAGCACCCCACTCAGGCTCCAAACCACCATCGTTGTGACTGAGCCTGGCTAATTTTGTCTATAGGAGATAAGCCAATTAAATTCCTTATCCACGCCAGAACCTCTTACTCTGCTCTCTGAATTACATGCTCTCTCTCGCCATCATTTACCACCATAATTGGAGTGGGAGGCCAGCCTCTTAAGGCCCTCCAAACCTCTTTATTAACGTGTGCTCTGAGAGATAAAGTCTTTACCCCCACATGCACAGCTATCACTAGTTGCCTGGGTAGAGACATGGTGGGCACCCATGTCTCCCTGACCTCTAAATCTCCTCCCAATTTACTTGCTCTCCAGACCCCTCCCTCCACGGCAGACATTTCCTCTTCTCTGCCACCTTTTATTGTTCAGCATGTCCCTGAGGTATGTGACACAGAGTCCCTAAGCAGGCTACTCATCTTACACCTGCATCTATTAGCCTAAATGACCCTTCCCATTTCCCTTATAGGGCTCAATACCCCATCAAACCAGAAGCTGTCAAGGGACTCAAACGTCTGATACACAAATTTCTTGAAACAGGTCTATTGATTCCCACTAACTCTCTCTATAATATCCAGAGCCTTCCTGTCCAAAGACTGGGCTGTTACTGTAAATTGATCCAAGATTTAGACTAATTAGTAAGACTGTAGTCCCTCTCCACCCACTGGTACCAAACCCATACACTCTTCTTAATGTTCTTCCTCTGACTCCAGTGTTTTCACTGTCTTGGATCTTACTACTCCTTTAGCTAAGGACTCCAAGCCTTTCTGCTTTTACACACACTGATCCTGAGTCTCCCAAGTCCCCAAAACACACCCGGACTGCCATTCTCCAGGGTTTTCGTGACAGGCCTAATGTTTTTGGACAGTCTCTTGCTAAAGACCTATCTTCATTCCCTTAACTGATAGCCATCTTCTCCAATATGTACATGACTTGCTCCTCTGTAGTCCAGACAAAGAGACCTCTGACAAAAACACTGCCTCTTTACTTATACACCCAGCCCAAAGAGGCTGTCGGGTCTGCCCCATAAAGGATCAAATAAGCCTTGCCATTATCAAGTACCTGGGCTTTCTCCTGGTCAAAGTGTCATCACAACCCAGAGAAACTCTGACCAGAGGCCTTAAGTGCCCTTCATCTAAGAGGGACCTTGGAGCATTCCTAGGACTGACTGGGTAGTTTTGTATTTTGATACCTCAACATGGGTTGATTGCCTAATCTTTATACAAGGGCCTAGCAGGCCCAGAATCAGAACCGCTGGAATGGAACAAAAGCATCCAACAGGCCTTCCTGATCTTAACAAACTATTTTCCGTGTGTTCTCATGAAAGGAGGGAAATTGCCCTGGGAGGCGGGGCGGGGGGCGGGGTGTTGGGACAAAGGAGCGCAGCAGATTTTAAGGCTGTGGCATATCTATCCAAAACTGGACTCCACTGCCTGAGACGGGCTCCTCTTCTTACAGCTCTAGAGGCCGTAGCCCTCCTCGCTTCTAAAGTGAGCAAGTTGGGAGGAGGACGCAGCGTCACCGGGGCGGGTGGCCGAGGCTGGGCGGCTGGGCGGCGGGGACGCCTAGTGCCTTGGGGATTGGGATGCCCTGGTGGGGGCCGCTCAGATTTCTGTTTCCGAGTAGCAGAGGCCACGTGGCATTGGCGGGGCCTCAGGACCTGGCAGTTGTGACCGTTGGGGGAGTGGTGGTGGGGAAGGGACGCGTTAATTCCGTTGGTGATGTTCCTGGGTGAAGGCTGAGGTAGCTACATCCAGCTCCCATGTCTGGCCAGCTGCTTAATCTGTGTACACCAGGGGTTGGAAAAACCACACTGGGCAAAGAACTTGCCTCAAGATCAGGACTGAAGGACCCTCGTACACGCTTGTTGGTGACATAGCTCAAGAAGGGGAGCTATATGATGGCTATGATGGCGGGTATGGTCCCCACTGCTGTGAGGCTTGATGTAGACCAAAGAGTCCCTTGCAAATAAAAAATTTGACGAAGCCATGGCGACTTATCAAATGTTACAAGAGCAAGTATGCCAGGATGTTGGTGGAAGCACCCACCCGAGGCCCTCCCTGTATTAGCGTGCTCCACCTTGCCCATCTCCTGTGGATCCGCTTTTCGTCCATGGTCCTCTACAGAAGAGAGCAAGTGAACCTAATCTTTCCAGCTTGATTGAACAACAGTCTGACGACAAGAAACCAAGTCAGAGGAACATCAGAGGTACCATCTTGCTTTCCCTTTCCCTCAGTGATCTGCCCAGGGATACCTTAACCCCCCTCACAGTCTTCCAGCTTGGTCCTAAGACCTTGACTTCGGAGGAGGAGGACACCAAGGAGGTCCCTGAGGCGACTGTCACAGATAGGCAAAGGCGTGGCTGGAAGGCAGTGACGAGAAGAATCATGACATCTCTTTTAAATCTGTGCTGTTGTGTTCCGCTCTCGAAGAAACGCCAAAAAGCCAGTAACAGAGTTGTCCCCAAGGCCCAGGTGGACACCCAACAAAGACGCAAGGCACACAAATAAGAGGGCCAGAAGTCCCTGTGCTCTGGTCAAGGTGGTGGAGATGGTGTGGACCCAGAGCTGCAGGGGACATCCGGGCAACAAGCTCTTGCTGCTGCGTGTCCAGCGTTGGCAACAAGGGGCTCTGCCCAGCACAGAAATAAGGTATACAATCTGCCATGGGACTCACCCCATAGGCCATCTGTCACCTACCTGGGCTTCTATGCATCTGGTGAGCTGAAAAGTTCACCCAAAGATGCCCAGAGACAAGGAACCCTATTGACCCCTCTCCCAAACCTCAGAGACTTTTTCCCCTGACACTTCCTCCTTCCCTTGTAGAGATAGATCTTAATACATTTGTCTTTTTATGTATCGCAATAAAATAATTGTTTCTACAATGGAAAAAAATGTTTCTGTGTTGTATTTGTGATAGTCTTAACTAAAAAAATTAGAATTTTTACTAAGATGGTTTTACTCTCTGTGGCCTCTTCCTATTTTTTTTTTTTAATCACAAGTGTATAACAGGGAGGAGGATCAGAAGACAACAAACAGGCCTGAGTTCTGTTGTGTGTGTGTGTGTGTGTGTGTGTGTGTGTGTGTGTGTATTACAACAGATAGAAGGAGAACTTAAATTTATTCTTTTTTTTATTAACCCAGGGCCTCATACATGCTAAGCAAGAGTTCTACTTCTGATATATAACCCTTCCTGCCCTGCACAGCTTAAGTTTTGAAAACCTAAATATCAAATTTGGTGAAATTTTCAGAACACTCTTTATAAAACCTCTTACCAGTTCAGAGCCTGGGACAGCATATCTAACCAAATATCATTCATGCTAAAGTATTTCAGTTTTGAAAAACGGGCAGGAGAGAACTCTGGCACGACTATTGGTGGCGCCATTCAATTTTATACCATAGTAAGACGAGAAAACAAAATGAGGCCGGGCACCGGTGCCTCACACCTGTACTCTTAGCTACTCAGGAAGCAGAGATCAGGAGGATTATGGTTCAAAGCCAGCCCCGGGGAAATAGTTCTCAAGACCCCATCTTGAAAAAACCCATCAGAAAGAGCTGCTAGAGTGGCTCAAGTGGTAGAGTCCTTGCCTAGCAAGCGCAAGGCCCTGAGTTCAAACCCCAGTACCACCAGAAAAGAAAGCAAAAGAAAATGAAAAGAAGAAAATCTACAATGGAGAAAAAAGCATGAAACTTTACATGCAAAAACCTTCTGGGTCCAAGATTCTGATGAGGATCTCATGGGGAGGTCATGGTGAAGTTCTCTCTCTCTCTCTCTCTCTCTCTCTCTCTCTCTCTCACTGTATGTCTCTCTCTCACTCTCTCACAGTCCATGTGTTACTAAGGTACCCCATGGTGGCTTAGGGAACAGGACTTTTTGTTACAGTAGTACAATGTGTGCAGGAAGGTCTACCACCCTTTGGACAGCCACCACTGGGGTTCAAGGAAAAGAAAGTGAGTACCTTGAGTGTAGGTAGATAGGATGAGGTCTTTCAAAACCGAAAGTTATCAGAGATTTTCAGACTTGAAATGAAAAGGCCATTGAAGTATCCTACTGGCTTTCATTTCTCAGGGAGTAAATACCAGTCTCCATGACACACCAAAGAAAAAAGCCTTTGGAGTTTTTGTTTTGTTTTTAATTAAAAGGGGAAAAGGTCCTTGAGGCCCCAAAGTAAGACAACCACCATGGGTTGTGCCCACATGTGCTTGGTTCATTTCCTGCCCTGACTCATCAGGGTGAAGTCATTGTGAGGGAATGATAAACAGCGGTTACATAAAGAGGTGGCCTTGGCTGGTTTTGCCTGTGTAGTGCAGGAAGCTGGTGGTTGGTGACCTGCTGAGTTAACACACACGACAGTTACCTTGTTTTGCTGGAGGAAGAGTTCGATAAGTGTTTTCACTTTCACTCATCATTTTACTCCTTTTTAAGAATTTAGCAGTGGTGCTACCTTCATTCCCTACTAGTGAGCGTAGCACCTACTGTGAGGGGCTGTCTCTCTCCAAAGCCAGCTCCCCCTATGAAGAAATTCTTACAGTTCAGTACAACATTACAGAGACCCTCGGACGTGGTAGCTTTGGCAAGGTGAAATTAGCTTCTCATCGCCTCACGGGAGCCCAAGTGGCAGTGAAGGTACTGGACAAGGGAGAGAAAAACCCTCACACTGATTCTGAAGTGTCTGTGACCTTTGAACCCTCCACTGCTGTGAGGCCTGACCTATAAGACACTTCCCTTCCTAACCCTGACGACAATGGTATGTACATGGCAGTAAGCAGTGACTTTATGCTGAAAGGGTAAAGATTTGCAAGCTATGCTGCAGTCTCTACCACAGAAGTCATAGAAAGTTCCTCTTCACTGTCTAATACCTTAGCCCAAAAGGCAGAACTGATTGCTCTCTCCCAAGCTCTGCAATTAGGACAAAGAGATTACACCTGACAAGTTCTATAACCCCATGCTGCCATGGGGGCTTCCTCAGGTCTCATGGACCTCCTATCAAGCATTCCTCACCCCTACTACATCTAATACAGGCTGCTCAATTACCAGTCCAAGCCGCAGTCATCCACCAGAGGGGTCACCAGAGAATCCAGTCCCTGGACGCCATAGGAAATAATAAAGCAGACTAGGAAGCCGCAAGGGTTGCTAAACTCCCACTCAGTAACCTAAGCCTAGTTTATGACCCCTCAAGCCCTCCTAAAACAGGGGTCTATTTGGGAGGAACCCTGACTGCTTCTCCAAGGGAAATACATGTTGCCCAATAGCCAAAACTTAAATATGCTTACAGATATTGTTCACTCCCCACAGGTGGACAAAACCTCTAAAGCTTGTCTCTCCCTCCTCTGCACTCCATCTTTGAGCACTCTCATGTCATCTCTTACTCAGCAGTGCTCTATATGCAACCAAATGAACCCACAGGGACATTAGTGATCCCCTCCCTCATTCTCAACACACCAATTATGAGGACATTTTCCAGGTCAAGACCGGTCAATAGATTTCACTCATAGGCTCTTTCATAAACACCACCAATATCTTCTAACCATGATTGACACCTTTACTGGATAAATGGAAGCATTTCCCTCACCCCCCCACACCTCTAAAAGAGCATTTGAAGTTATCAAGGTCCTAATAATTCATTGTCCCCAGGTTTGGGCTGCCCATCTCCCTGCAGTGACAGTGGGCCACCCTTCATGTCTCCAATCACTCAACAAGTAGCAGAGGCTTTAGAGGTAATCTATAAGCTCTCCTCTGCTTGACACCCCTGATTGTTGGGAAAGATAGAAAAGACCCACTCCTCATTCCAGAGACACCTTACTAAACTCTCTCAGGAATTCCATCAAAGCTGGATGGAATGTCTTCCTTTCACTGTCCTCTGGCTCCACATCACCCCCAAAGCCCCTCTTTTGTTCAGTCCCTTTGAAATTAAGTAAGGACCCCCTTTTCTTCTTGTCCCACAAATACCATGGGCTCTTTCTTTCCTGGGCTCATACCTGTCTGCTGGGCTCATACCTGTCTGCTATTGAACTAACCCACTGGCTTCTCAGCAGTTCTGCAGAACAAGTCCTCCTCCACCTGTAGATTCCTCTTCTACAGCCAAGAGAGTGGGCCTCCAAAGGACCTCCCAGAACACACAAAACCTCCCAGCATTCCTGTGTTTCAACTCGTCTCTGTATTTACCTTCCCCGGGGAGGTTTGCACTGTAATATGTTTTTGTGTTTGTTACTGCTTAGTGTTCTTTCATTTCAATTTGTATAGACTTCCTTTAGGTTTTTCTGGTAAGCCATGTCTAGTGGTGAGGATTCCTCCCAGCTTTTATTTATCTAGGAAAGAATATTACATCTCCTGCATTTTGGAAGGAAGGTTTTGTTAGATATAATATTCTTGATTGGTAGTTATTTTTGTTTTGATTTTGTTTGTTTTGCAGTTCTTTGAATAGATCATCCCAACACATGGCTTGGCAGATTTCTGCTGAAAAAGGTACTGATAGTCTTATGAATTCTCTCCTGTATGTCACAAGTCACTTTTCTGTAATGCTTTTAAAGTTCTCTCCTTGTCTTTGACTTTTGACCATTTGATGATAATGTATCTGGGTGATAAAATTTTTTGGAGTCCATTGGTGATTTTATATTTGTTTTGTAGCCTCTTGAATCTGATGTCCATTTATATTCTCATATTTGGGGAGTTTTCAGCCATTATTTCTTTAGATAAATTTTCTGTCCTTTTCTCTCCTTCCCTCTCTTCCTCTCTCTCTCCATCTCTTCCTTTTTTTGGAACGAGGCGTTAAGAAAACCAAGAATAGGGCTCTTGCTTCTAAGGAAACAGAGGGCAGGCTTTCCTTCCCAAAGGTTGTTCGGTCAAATGCAAGGGCAGCTTCAGGGTCTGGCTTAAGAGTTTTGCTTTTCCTCAGGAGTCAAGGGCCACCAGTGGGGCTAGAGCAGAAAGTTTTGTTGTACACAATTACTTCAAGCACATGAGGATGACTAGGGGAGATAACTCAAGGTTTCTATGGAAGCAGGAAATTCCAGGAGAGGGACCTCCATTTGGTTCCTTCCACCTTTAGGATACGCCCAGCATAGGGTCTTGTTAAAATGCTGAGAGAGCTGGGGCCAGTGGATAATGGAGGCTGGAATAGGTCCCCAGGGGAGGAACAAAAGAATTATTAGAACCCACTGACTGCAGTAACACCAGAGAGGAGATTCAGGCTCAGGTTTGGCAGTATTTCATGTGACTCCACCCATCTGAGAGCCCATGTGCTCTCATGAACCAGTCAAAAATCACCACAAACTCCCAGAATCAGCACAAGCCAGAACAGAGGGTGATTCAACGTGTCAGTGTCAGTTATTACTTATCTGAGTGTGTTTCTTCTGAAAGGAACTTCAGACCCTCCACTGGCTCATAGGATTAGGGGTCCTCAGGCACCTCAAGATTTGAAGGATCCTATAGGGCCTGCTTTATCCTGGAAAGATGAGTCCAGCTATCCATTTCCTGTACCTTAATGGCAGTGAAAGTGGCCAAGATCACCAAATAGGGTCCCTTCCATTTCAGTTGTACTTGATCTTGAGGCGTCCCTTCCCTCGAGGTGCTATGAGCACTTGCTCCCTGTGAGTAATTTGGATTCTCCCCCTTTCTGTAGAACTTTTTCCGTACATCTTTAAAGGCCTGTTGGAACTAAACCAGGTCATTTATTGCAGGACCAACGAGTAAGTCATTAGGAAGAAAAAGTCTGCCATACAATATTTCATAAGGGCTTGGATGAATTTTAGGTCTCTCATCCTTAGAAGAGCTACAGGCAGAAGAGTTACCCAGGTTTCAGAAGTTTCTTGGCAAAGTTTAACCAACATCCTGTTTAAGGTCTAGGTGGCTCTTTTGAACTTTCTGGAAGGGGGCATTGTCGTTCTGAATGTTCTGAGGGAACCCAAATCTAGGAATAATTTCTTTCAAAAGAACTTGTGCTACTTCCATAGCCCTTTCAGCTCTTGTAGGGAAAACCGCAACCCACCCACTAAATGTATGTATAAGGACCAGCCGGGACTTGTATCCTTTACAGGGGACCATGTGGGTGAAGTCCACCTGCCAGTCTTCCCCAGGATGGTCACCTCTTCTCTGCATTGGTTTCACCAAGGGAGGCAGTGTAGGTCCCAGGTTGTTGTGGGCACCCAGGGAGCAAGCCCTGCAGACTTGTTTGGTAATGGCAGTTAATCCTAGTCCTGTGACAGTTTATATGCCACAGCCCGGGGCGGTATCTTTCCTTCCCATGTGGAAGGAATCCTGTGAGGACCCAATTATCTTCCACAGGTCTGCCCCGAGCAGGTATAATTTGTTCTCCACTTTCCACCATACTCCCTCTTTATCTCTCCCTTTTTGGGAAGCATCCCTTTCCTCCCCCAGGTTGTACTGGGGTTCTGTCCTATTAGGGAATGGGACTAGAGCGAGCACGGTAGTGGGGTTCCTGAGAGCCGCCTGTGGGCTTCTCTACTTGTCTTATTATTGCGTGTTGATACCCAAGGCAAGTCCTTTTGATGGCTTCTGCAGTGAATCATTGCTACTAACTTGGGTAGTTGTACTGTCTCTAGTAGCTGGAGGATCTCTTTACTGTGTTAATTGGAGACTGACTGCCAGTTAGGAGACCTCTTTATTTCTATATGACTGTGTGCATGAAGCACCAAGAATGCCTATTTTGAATCAGTATAAAGGTTAACTTTTTTGCCCTTTCTCAAGATCAGTGCTCTAGTTAGGGCTACCAATTCAGCCTTCTGGGTGGAAGTACCTGCAGGTAAAGGGCCCAACTCAATTACTTCTTCTTGGCTAACTACTGAATAAGCTACTCGCATTCATAAACCACTCAGTGTCAGGCTTCACAAGGGGCTTGTCAGTTAGGTGCAGTCTACTAGTAAAGGGTTACTTCTTCACAGACGTGTTTGTTCATTACCTGGGAGGACAGCAAAAAGACAGGGTTCAAGGTATTACAGACTTGTATGATCATCTCTGGATTTTCTAAGAGGGTGGTCTGATATTTAATTAAACACTCCACCGCCATCCAGGATAGCCTTCACCTGGTGGGGAGTTTTTTGTCTTCTCCACCAGTAGAGTGGCGTTAAAAGTCGCCCTTAAGCAACCAGACAATCCTGAGATAGCCCCATCCAGTCCTTTTGACAAATATGCTATCTTGTGGGTTAGGTTCTGTTCCCAATTTCTGGGTCAGTACTCCAACTGCCATCCCTTTTCTTTCAGAAGCATATAGGGTAAAGGGTGTGGAGAGATCAGGAATCCCCCAGTGCTGGTGCCTCCACTAATGCTCATTTTAGGGCCTTGAAGGATTATTCCACTTCCCTAGTTCATATTAGAGGTTCACTCTCTCGTCCCCTTGTGGCCTCATATAGGTGCTTAGCTATAAGGTCAAAAATTGAGATCCATATGCAACAGAAACCTGCCATGCCTCAAAATGAGTATAACTGGAGTTTGGTAAAAAGTGTATCTAGTTTGCAAAGTTGGCCCCAACCCTTCCAGCTGATAGATGCCTGGTTCCTGGAGTTAAAACATACTCTAAGTGTTGTACTTCTTGTTGGGAAATTTTGGTCTTTTCCCTTGATGCTTTATATGCTCTAACTGCCAGGAAATTTAGGACCATGATGACATTTGCATTTGAGAGCTCATGAGCAGGGCTGCAAATCAGGATGTCACCTACATAATAGACAATTCTCCAGATAAACTGAAAATGTCTTAAATTCTTGGCTAAAGCACTAGTGAACCGGTTGAGGACTGTCCTGGAATTCTTGGGGCAAGACAGTTGAGGTGAATTGTTTTTCTCTAGTATCTAGATTTCATTCAAACTCAGAGAAACTGAGAGTGTGAGTGTGAGTGTGAGTGTGAGTGTGAGGAAATGGAGAAGAAAGCATCCTTAAGTCCAGAACAGTAAACCAGTCTCTATCCCTGTGTATCTGGGCCAGGATGGTACAAGGATTAGCTCCTAGGGGGTGTATTGGGACCACAGCCTCACTGATTAGTCTGAGGTCCTGCACTATGCTATATTCCCCAGTGGGCTTTAGTACAGATAAGATTGGGGGTATTGCAAGGGGACTGAAAAGGCACCAGAAGTCTGTGTTGCAAGAGCACCTTGATGATGGGCTGAAGTCCTTCTCTGGCTTTTCTTTTTATTGGATATTGTTTCTGGTTGGGGAAATGATTGGGATTGCTAAATCTGATTGAGACAGGGACAACAGTCCTTGCTCTACCTGGGACTCCATCATACCAGGATGCAGGGTGACCTTGGGTTTATTTTTCTTGGAATAGTGGGGATTGGGGTTCTGGGAGCAGAGTGCCTTAGCATGAATAATCCAACTCTGGAATGCACTGCCAAGACCATGTCCAATTTAGTCATTATATTTCATCATAGGAAGGGAGTGGGGCATTATGGAATTATAAGGAATCTGTGTAAAAACATTTGCTCCCTGATTTTGCATGGTATTTCAGGGGTAAGCCTATGAGCCCATGTTTCTCTTCAACCACCGTTATAATTGTGCTCTTGGAGGGAAGTTCTCCTACACAGGAATGTAGGCAAGAATAAACAGCCTCCTCTGTGCTTATCCCGGGGGTCCATGGTCGTTCAAAGATCCTCATGAGACATGGTAGTTCTTTGCAGGGGGCAGCAGAGGGCGTCCTGGGCCTCCTTAGTCTATTTCAGATGGCAAGCCAGCAAGCAAGATCTTGGCTGGCTGCCTGCCTCGTTGGGCATGGGGACAGTCAAACCTCCAGTGCCCTGTGTCGCCTCCTTTCTCAGAGTACACACAATAAGGACAGAAGAGTGCCTTTTGCACTCCCTTGCAAAATGCCAACCTTCTATGGCAAGTGGACTTAATTGGGTTTGTCTCCCTTTTTACTTTGGGGAGGATGTCCTTGAGCCCTTCAGGGCTTCTCCAGTCATGGTTGCCATAATTTTGGATTGCCTTTTTACTTTATGTAGTCCCTTCTTCTCTTCCTCCAGATCACGATTATTGTATACTAGAAAGACAACCATCCCATGGTTGAGTCTCAGTAGTCTGTGAACCCAACTGCAACTTTTGGAGCTTACACTCATATCTGGGGTCAAGTGGGTAAGCAATGTTGTCTCAGCAGTGCACCGCCCTCTCTGGAAGTGGGATCTGTGTTGTGTATTTCCTAACAGTCTCTTCTAGTCTATCCTAAAAGGACATAGGATTCTCATTTGCCCTTGACCTTGTCTTAGTTTACAAGCTTAGTCACGCCTGCCTTCACTTCTGCTAACTGGGAACTCGATCACCCTCTCCCTTCTTAGCATACCTTTGGGGTATGCAATTCCAGAGAGGGTCTCACTTGGGAACAGTGTCTTATTCATTCGTATTATTCGTCCCCTGGCACCTGGCCAGCAGAATGTTAGCAAGCATCATGTCTACTGCTACTCCGGAAGTTGTAAGACTCTTTTCTCCTTCTATTGGAGTACAGGTGGCTAAGAGGAATTGAATATCTCTCCACGACAAGTCAAAAGTTAAGGTTAGAGTCTAGAATGCTTCAGTAAATCTGGCTGGGTCCTCAAAGTAATGGTCCAGACTTCCCTTGCATTGCTGAATGTCTACCACAGAAAAGGACTCCCTCAAGTCCCACTGCTTCTTGCAGGGTAAGCATAGAGGATAGCTTTGGGGAATAAGAGGCCCTGCTGCAAGTGTGAGGGGGTCTAAGCAAAGATTTTAGCTTCTGCCCGTAGGGTTTCAGATGGCGAGGAGGATGGAGGTGGGATATGATAGGAGGGGGATTCTCCCCCTGAGAGGCATGTCCCCTCTTGGAGCACAGGATCATCTAAAAAGTCTACAGGTGCCTCAGTAAGCTCCTTTTTTTGCTTTATGGGGAGAATCCTGACAGAGAGAGGAGCCTTGGTACAGACCCATGAATATCTCCGGACATCTGGGACTTCAGTCCACTTCCACGACTCCTGCAAGAAGATCTAGCTGTAAAATTGTGTTGCGGTTAAGATTTATGTTTTGTGGCCGTTTCTTTCGGTTTCTCAGTGTATATTGAGGGCAGGCTACTTTACAGTAGGAGATGAATTGTTTGTTTTTTAGCAGGATCAAAGTGGTCCCAGTGCCTCAGGATGCAACCAAGCAGTGATCCAGCCAGAATGGAACTGGATCTCCCCCACCCACCCACATCATGATGTCTGGAGAGGAAAATATGGGAGAGTCAGGAATTCCATTTTTGGGAGGGGGTGGGGGCAGGGGGGAGAAATGAACCAAGCCTTGTATGCACATATGAATAATAAAAGAAAAGAAAAAAAAAAGAATTCCATTTTTGTCCTGGGAGAGTCAAATCCTAAGGGCCCATTGGATATCCCCAGGGGGTCCTTAGATTGGGGAAGTGGGAGGGTGTCTCCATTTTCCTTTTCCTTGGGTTGGATGTCTCCAGCCCAGAGTGGGTATGTACCTCTTTTCTCTGGAGTTCTCCAGAGGCCATGTTCTACAACGAGGCGGGGAATTCAGGTGGATGGCTTGGCTACACACATCCAAGTAATTTCAGCAGTAGAGATGGTCCAATTGGACTCTAGGGAGTAAGTATTTTAGATTTTTTTTTTTTTTTGCCATACTGGAGTTTGAACTTAGGGCCTCACGCTTGCTAGGTGCTCTTCCACTCAAGCCATTCCACCAGCCCTAGGAGTAAGTATTTTAGAAGAGATAAGATGGCCCATGACTCAAGGGAAGAGGGAAGTGGATCGTTGGAGTGAGGGAAGATTAGGGATATCTAAGAGATCCAATATCTAAAAATAAGAATTTGTGTGTCGAAAAGAGTCACAGAAAAGAAGGTGTAGAGGAAGTTTCTCCATTCCCCAGGAAAAACTAGAATTTAAGGCAGACTATAGTAATAATAATAAAAGATACAGGGGCGGTTGCAAGCAGGCAAGTTAAAGCAGAATGAGCAAGCTTTGGTAGATGACACAGGGGAATGAACAAGAACACAAACTGGACTCGCTGGGATCTGCAGACTGAGCAAAAAAAAAAAAAAAAGCTCCAGAAAATATGATGCCCTGGGGAAACTGATGCAGTCCTTACTTCCTGGCTGGTCCCACAAGTAGATGTTGGCTACAGTGCTCCTCAGATGGTTCTCAGGTCCTTGTCCAATGCCAGGAGCAAAGAATTGAACGAGGAGACAAAGAGTGTTGAGCAAAGCCAGTTTATTAAAGCAAAGTCCACCATCGTGGAAGGGGAGACAGCAGGCTCTCAAGCAACAGCTCTGCCAAAAGTCCTCCCAACTGCCCATTTTGTGGTTAGATATGCTCTTCTAGAGAGGGGGATAAAGGGAGCCAGTTCTTGCTAGACCGCAGAGCACATGGATTAAAAGGTATTCCATGTCTTTAATTGCCTTTTCAGTCATTTTTCTCTACTTAAGGCCTTAATGGATATTACTTGCACCTTACGCATTTCATTAAACATCCAGGAATCAGAGTTAGAACATGTGTAGAATGCCTGAAGTTATGTGACAAGACCTTGTCAATCAAACCTGCCAATCACCCCAACCCCGCCTGCAAAGACTGCCCAGATTTTTCCCTGCCAGCCTGACCCTAACCACATAAAAGACATAAACCCCTGATGACCATAGGGTCTTGAGCTGGTCCTTGCTCAGAGCCTGCTGTCTCCCCTTGACCACTAGTGTATTATCACTTTAGTAAACTTTGGCTTTGCTTTAATTCTTTGCTTGTGGCATGGGGAAGGACCTGAAAACCATCTGAAGACCACTGTAACCTACCTGCAACACAATGAACCTTTAAGAAACTATTACTTGCACAATTTTTTAAAACAGGTTTTTTTTTTCTTTTTATAAATTGTTTACTTGCACAGTTCCTATGCAATGTTAAAGAAGCCTACTTTCAGTTGTACGAAGGGCCGTGGAAATCCTCCTGCTTTTGCAAGCACATCACTGTGGTTCATGTACTTCAAGCAGCATATTACAACATATTACATACGCAGCAAAATAGGAGAATTTGCTTGCTAACAATAGGAGAATTTGCCAGTAATGCAGGGCAGGTTACCCCCCTTAGTTAATGGTCTCTGGAAACCCCTCACAAACAGACTCAGAAATGTGCTTTACTAATCTCCCAGGTGCTTCTCAACCCAATCAAGTTGACAATTAAATTCAACATCGTACTGGGCGGTAGCATCTCATGCCTGTAATCCCAGCTACTCAGGAGGCAGAGATTAGGAGAATAGAGGTTTGAGGTCAGTCCAAGAAAAAATGAGATTCGATCTCAAACAAATATAAGCCCAGCTACATAGGAGACATAGGTAGGAGATGACATCCAGTCTGGCCTGGGCAAAAACTCAAGGCCTCATCTGAAAAATAACTAAAGCATAATGGGCTGGAGGCATGGTTGAAGTGGTAGAGCTCCTGACTAGCAAGTCTGAAGCCCTGAATTCTAACCTCAGTATTTCTAAAAAAAAGAAAAAAAATTAACCATCACAAGGTGGGTGTGGTGGTGCACACCTGTAATCCTAGCTACTCAGGAAGTAGAGGCAAGAGGATTTCCAGTTCAGGTAAAATTATTGAAAACCTACCTTAAGGAAACAAAACAAGAGGGCATGACTTAAGTGGTAGAGCACTTGCATAGCAAATGCAAGGCCCTGGACTCAATCTTGGGTACTGCAAATGAACAAATAAAAATTAAGGGATCTTGAGACCAAGATTGGGGCAGGGTGCCCTGACTAGTGGCTTCATCTGAGGTCTGGGTGGTGTTTCACAGGCTGGGTGGTGGGTGGCATTATTTGTCAGTGCATTTCTACTCCCCCTCCACCCCATCCCCACCTCTCCCCGTCTTTGCCATGACCTTTGGGAGAAATGCACTTTCTTGCCTCTTTGAAGCTGCACTAGGCCCTGTGATTGGCTGGCCTTTGGAATGTGAACAGACATCAGTGGAGCAGACATGTTACTGCACTTGCTGTGTTATTTAGCCTGCCCTCTCTTCTTGTCATTGACCACAGGAAGAACATGAGTCAAAGAGCCACTGGCCCGACACGAGGAGCTCCAACACTTCTGCCCAACCACCCATCTAGAGCCTTGGTGAGCCCTGCTGAGATGAGCTGAACCCCTGCTAGCCTGCAGAGCTGTGAGTACGAGAAAGACAAGCTTATAGTCATAAGGCAGGGACAGCCTTGTTGCCACAAAACCTTACTCGTCTTGAATGCCAGAGAAGACTTCTTGCCATGGTCCTCGCCAAAATTCTCATTGAAATTTAATGCACACCCTGGAGAGATGGGGCCAGGTGAGCCCTTTAAGAAGTGATTAGGTCATGAAAGCTCTGCCCTAAAGAATAGATTAATCCACTCTTTGATTAATGGATTAGGGGATTAGCCCATGAGTAGATTATCTCAAGAGTGAATCTGTTCTAAAAGCCAGTCTGGCTGCCTCTCTTGGACCTGTCCTTCTCATGAGATGATGTCTTGCACCGCCTGGGGTCTCTAAGGGAGTCCCCATCAGCAAGAAGCCATCACCAGATGTAGCATTTTGATTTTGGGACCTTCCAGCTTCCAGAACTGTAAGAAATAATTTTTTTTCTTCCTAAATTACCCAGTCTCAGGTGTTCTCTTAGAACATCAGAAAACAGACTCCCTCATACTGCCTTGGGTAGGAGTGATGGCTGTGGGGCAGAACAAGGCTGGCTGTTGGCCTTTCTTAGACTGAGAAGTGAGGAAGGGACAGAAAGTGGGGTGGCACCACCAGGGAGCATGTGGACTTTCACCTGTCCCCATTCTAATGAGTGTGATCCTTCTGCTCGCAGCTGTGCCTTGCAGACCTGGACCCAAATACTGATTGAGGGAGCCTGCAGAGGGTCCAGCAGTGCAGGTGCTCAGCTGTGCGTGGGGAGGAATTCCGGGTTCAGGGCAATCCTCGTCTACAGACTTTCAGCCAGGCCCGAGCTCACCTATGCTGCACCGACTCCCCTTCCCACTTGGTGACTCTGATGACTGACTACATGCTTTCCACTTTTTATCTGGCAGATCAGCCATTTGGAATTCCCACTGCCCACTTGGGTGTCTACTTGGGTCTGCTGAGGCAGTGACCTGACATTGACCTTCTTCTTAGCTCCCCAAACTTGGTGTTTATTCTTTTCTTTCCAATTTTCCTTTTTTTGGTGGATGAATGCCTTTTAAATCTGTCATCACTCTGTCACCTGTCACAACTACTATGCAGGTATACAGACACATTCAGAACACAAGCTCAACCAGGCGTTTCCAGGTGGCTTTATTATTTTTAAATAACAGTTTATTCAGAGAGAGAGCACATGAATTCCCACTTGAGGAATGTGTTCAGAGGGACGTTATGATAAGTAATAAGCAGGGCTGAGGAGAACAAATGCTGCTTGACCTGATTTATGTAGAGAATGCAAAGTTCAAACTGGCAGGAAAAGTAGCACAGAGGTTACCAGCAGTTGGGAACGGGGAAGATGTTGGTCAAAGGGTACAAACTTTGGTTATAGGATGACTGACGCACAGTATGGTGGCTGTCATAATCAACAACAGATTACATCCTTGAAATGTGCTAACAGTAGATCTTTGGCACTCTGAACAGACACACACATGGTAACTACATGAGGAGAAGGCTAGGTAACTTAGCTCAGAATTTCATAATTTCACAATCTTACGTCCACATATCAAATAGCGAAACACCATGCTGTACACTTTGCTTTTCTCAAGTCTGTGTTAGCATGAATTAATTGTACAAGGGTTCATCGTGATATTCACACACATGCATCCAATGTACTTTGATCAAACTCATTCTCATGTTGCATACTTTGAATAGATATAATCTTCAGTTTTCAATTATATCCGCAATAAAGCTGAAAAAATAAGTCAAGTATACAAAATAAAGTGGAAAATTCAATGGCACCAATCACCACAATCTACATTTGGAATGTTTTCATCACTTCCTAGAGAAATCAGCAGCCCTTCAAATTCCCACACGCTACTAGTCCTTAGTGACTGTGACTCTACTTTGATTTCCTTCTTCCTTCATTCTTCTCTCCCTCCCTCCCCTTCCCTTCCCCTCCCACCCATCCTCCCGCTCTCTCTTCCGACCTCCCTTCCTTTCTTCACTCTTCCTTCTCCCTTCCTTCCTCCCTCTCTCCTTCTCTCCTTCTTCCCTCCCTCCCTTTCTTTCCTTCCTCTCCCCTTCCCCCTCCCTTCCTTTCTCCACTCTTCCTTCCTTCCTTCCTCCCTTTCTTTCTTTCTTTCTTTCTTTCTTTCTTTCTTTCTGTTTGGGGGATCACACCCAGGGTCTGGTACATGCCAGGCAAGCATACACTAAACCAGCTCTCTACTTTGTATTTCTAGAGATTGGGGTATTTGAATTATTTCGTATAGGCAGAGGCATACAACATGTGGCCTTTTGTGACTGTGGATACTTCTTTCACTTAGCATAGTGTTTTCACAACTCATCCATTTTCAGCATAGGTTAGTACTTCCTTTATATGGTTGGATAATATTCCACTATGTGGATATGCCACATTTTGCTGATCCACTCATTCATGAATTGATGGACAAAGTGACCTTTAGAAAATGTAAATCAGATCATGTCACTCATGCCCACGAAATCTTCCAGGTTAACAACAAAATTATTATGTCATCGGGCCTTGCAACAACTGGCCCTTGTTCACCTTTCAGCCTCATTTCTCACACGTCTGCCTCCTTGGCATATTGCTAGCCAATCACACTGGTGTTTTTTTTCTGTTCCTTGAAAATCCCAGGCTTATCCTTAAGTCAGGGCCTTTGCATTTCCTTTTCTTCCCATGAGAGAGCTCCTCCCTCAAGTCGATGCTCCTCTCCTGCACTTCATGTCACCTTGGAAGATCTTTCCACATTTGAAGGCACAGAGGTGCCCTCAGAGCTGATCATCTCATCTAAGACCTGTTGTTTGTAATCTTCACTAACCTCTCATGTGGGTTTAGCTTGCTTAAACAAACATGGGCTCAACAGGACCCAGGCCACTAAAATGGGAGGTGGACACTGACCACAGATGCAGATGACACAGGAAGGAAGATTATGATCGGCACAGCAGAGAGCAGCCCCCTTCCGAGCAACGTCAGATGCACAGACCACCCTGACTATAATGCTAAAATCTCTATCAGCAGCAGAACACGGGACACTTGTTCCAGAAAACATGACAACTTATGGAAAACTGCCTCAAACTCTTGTCCCTTACTCTTCTACACATTCCCTTCCCTGAGGAACTAAAGGCCCCTTATCAGCCAGCAATCCCGTTCCCCTAGGAACTTTCCATCACAAGAGCGCTCAGTTCTCTGACTTCACATCTCAATAAATTCCTTTCTGTTTGACATGAACCCCTGTCTCAGAGTCTCTGAACACACTGGAACACAATTGACCTGCAGCCACTGGGCTAATACCTTCTTTACGCAGTGTAGTCCTCCACCTCTCCCAGACCTCCATTTTAATTGCCTCTCTAGCTCTCAGGACTGCCTGCTATTACCCAGTCTTTCTTGGGTCCTCTTGCACTCCTGAGAATCCCTGATTTTGTGTTGCTCAGAGCTGAGAACATTAATGGCCACTGCTTAGATGTCTTGAAACAGGCTGTTACAGGTTGATTTATGGCCTCCAAAAATATGTGATGACACCCTACCCCTACTACCTCAGAATGTGACCATATTTGGAACTAGGAGCTTTGTGAATGTAATTAGTTGAGATGAAGTCATACAGAACTAGGGTGTGGACCCCTAACCTGAAATCACTACTGTCATTATAAGCAGAAGAGAGAGAGACACATACAGGGGAGAAAACTACATGATGACCAAGGGAAAGCTTGAAGTATTCCAGCTGTGGGTTAAGGAATGGCAAAGTTGCCACCAGGTGCTAGAAAGTGGTGTGATGAAGAATTTTCCCCTTGCTAACATCTTGATTTCAGACTCTAGCCTCTGGAACTTGGAACAGATGTCTTAGGCCACCTTGTCTGTGGTACTTTGTTATGACAGCCCTGGGAAGTGATAAACTAACTATACTGATTTTCCTCTCCAGCCCTTCCAATGGTTGGGTAACCATCAATTTTCTGTATTAAATCTCCTCCTACTCAAAATACCTAGGATGGCTTTTGTCATCCTCCACAAACCTGAGTGCTCCAGGGAGCTTTCCTCACCCAGCTTCTAAGAAAACTCCATGAGTTGGTGGAAACAGAGGAATGGGTTGTCATTTGCATCTTACACCATCATGCATCTTGGGTCGTTTACAGCTAACTGCAAACTTGCATCAGAAGAAAATGATTGAAGCTTGCCTGGCTAAACAGGAAGTTCACTCAGTAATGACCATGAAGCATTTTTATCTGGAAACTACAGGGGTATTAATAGAACCAGTGTCAGATGGGAAAGAGTTTCCTGTGAGCACATTGAAAATATCCATTTTTTTATTTTTTTCCTTCCACAAGAAAATGCCTGACTTCTGACCATAGAGAATTTGGTGTTAGCATGGAAACAAAATTCTTCCCCTACGGTGGAGAACCAAACAGCCTGGTGATCCTTTCATAAATACTGGCTTAGGAGCTACTAGCGTTCAGTAAATGCTCTTTGGTAAGGTATAACTGAGAAACAAATCCTAGGTTGACCGTCTTATAGCTGGCTTCAAGGTTCCCCTTCCAAGGCTGTGGACAGCGTGCACAGACCATAAACCATAGGTGCTAAAGGCAGCCTTGAGACGCAGAGAAGAGAAGAGACTTCTAGCTAGTTACAGGGTCCTTTTGAGGACTCTGGCCTTTGACCTATAGTTTGCATTTTCCCCACCCCACCATGTATTCCATGGCACCTGTTATTTCCATTCCTCTTTTCTTTAATTTGGAGAAAGATTTTTCTCTTTATTTCTCTGTTACTTTGTTTAAAAACATTAATGTCATAGCCAGCAACAGTGGCTCACACTTGTAATCTTAACTGCTTAGAAGACTGAGATTGGGAGAATCATGGTTTGAAGCCAGCGGGAGCAGGAAGTCCTCAAGACCCCCACCTTCATGGGAACAGGCTGGACATGGTGACATGTGCCCGTTAGACCAGCTATATGTGTGCAGGAAGAGTGAATGGGAAGGTGATGGTCTAAATCAGGTTGGGCACAAGTGTGAAATCCCATTGAAACGTGGGCTGAGGGTCTGGCTCAAGTGGTAGAGCACCTTCCTAGTAAAAGCAAGGCCCTGAGTTCAAACCCTAGTACCAATAAACAAAAATTTCCTGCCAGGCACCAGTGGCTCACACCTGTAATCCTAGCTGCTCAGGAGGCAGAGATCAGGAGGATCATGGTTCGAAGCTAGTCTGGGCAAATATTTCGCAAGACCCTACCTCTAAAAACCTTTCACAAAAATAGGGCTGGTGGAGTGGCTCAAGGTGAAGGCTCTGAGTTCAAGACCCAATACCGAAAAAAAAAATTCATTTCTTGAGTATTCAGTCCAGGATTCAAATCCCTTCTAGAACCATTGCCAGCCCCTTGCTGACTCCATGGCCCATGCTCCAAACCCCTCAACCACACCCACTTTCTTCCCATTCCTTGAGTGTTTCACTTCCCTTCCTGCCTCTCAGACATTGTTTCCTCTGCCTTAACCAACTTTTCCTTCTTTTCTTCTGCTAGGAAATCATCTTTGTAGTCTAGCTCACCTGTGATGTCTTCTGCAAGGGTTCTCCAAGAAGGGCTTTGTGCTCCTTTCTCTGGGTCTTCACATTGCTCTTCATGAGGCTCTGCTCTACCACTCACCTTGGACAGTTTATTGATGCACCTCAGCCTGCAGGCTCTCTGAAAGCTGAGTAGGTCCTGATCCTTCTCAATTTTCAGCACCCACGAAGGTGCAATGAAGAGGCAAGAGCTGGTCACCATTTAATCTGAAGTTAGCAATGGAAAATGTATGGGGTTGGGGGGACGGTCCGGGAAGAGGCCTAGAAACATGGGAGGCAGAGTGACTTTGGGGAGAACAAATGAAAAAATCAGTTTAGGCTCGAGAGAACCCAACAGGGCAAAGTTCACACCTAAGTGTGGTTTGCACTGCAGAGATGGACATACTTGCCTTCAAGTCACCAGAGCAGCTCCAGAGAGCATAACCAAAACATAAAGCTTGCTTGGATCCTGAAAAATGTTCCAATACAGGGTCTTCCAGGAAAATTCCCTATTTTGAAAGTGTTCTGAGTTTTTCCTTATGATCAGTCATTTCAGGGGCAGAGTTATAAATTAGATTAAAAAAATAAAAGTTTCTTCTTACCTTTCATATTTTGCAAATATTCTGCAATGCATAGTCATTTTTAATAAGAACACACATAGCATGTTTGCTTCCAAACACCAGTGAGAAGGAAGGAGGGGCTGGGGTTGAGTCTGAACCTAAAGCCTGAGGGGCACAGCAGTAGGAGTGGCCTAGCCACCAGAGGCTCACTGAGGGCTTGTGGAGTGTGAAGCAGCAGGAGGCACGGCCTCTTGGTCCTGAGTTAGGCTGGGCCCATTCTGGATCTGGGTGAATCAAATTTGTTGTTGTTGTTGTTGTGAAAAATACCTGAGAGAACAACGTAAAAGCAAGGAAGGCTTATTTTGGTTCACGGCTTCAGAGATTAGAGACATTGTTGTGAGCCTGAGTGAGACAGAAAATCTTATCAAAGCAAAGCTGCTTACTGTCAGGTCTCTACTTGACATCACTGATGCCATCTTAAACTCTGCTTGACCCTAGAGCTGTTTGCTCCCGCAGAGATGGGCTCCCAAGGGAATCTCTGGTTTCCCAAGACCCAGCTCCTCAACCACCCCCAGCAATGGACAATGGAGAAGCCACAGTGGAAAAACTCCCACTACCCTTTACCAGGTCTTTCCTTTCCTATAAAACCCCCAGTCTACAAGGGGCAGCGGGTTCTAGCTCTCTTTCTGAAGACCCCCTCTGCAGATTTCTTCTCCTGAATAAACCTGTGCCGACATTGAGCCATCTCTTTGTCTATCTCTCTATGCTTTTCAACACTTACTTCATGGTGTCCAGGAAGGAGAAAAGAGAGAGGGAGAGGAGGAGGAGGAGGAGGAAGAGAGAGAGAGAGAGAGAGAGAGAGAGAGAGAGAGGGAGAGAGAGAGAGAGAGAGAGAATGAAAATATTTCTTTGCTGTCTGGCTTCTTCTTCTTTCCCTTATATCTATCCAGGCCCAACCTAGGGATGATTCTATCTACATTGAGGAAAGGTCTTTCTCCCTTAATCATCTCTGAAAATACCTTCACAGACACACTCAGAGGTGTGCTTTACTAATCTCCTAGGTGTCTCTCAATCTAATTTTGTTGACAAGATTTAACTGTCACAATAATCTTATTTGGAAATAGGCCCTTTGCAGATATAATTAAGGTAAGGATTGAGATGAAAGCATACTGGCACAGGGGAGACCTTAAGTTCTGAGAGTATTGACAGGCTGGAACTCTTGTAGAAACAGACACTCAGGGTCATAGGGAAGAAGGCTGTTCACACATGGAAGCAGAGAGTAGAGTGATGCTCACTTGCAAGTGAAGCAAGGAACACCTGGGGCCATCAGAAGATAGAGGAAGCAAGGAATGGACTGTCCCCAGAGTCTTCTGTGGGAAAATGGCCCTGCTGACACCTGATTTTGGACTTCTGGCCTCCAGAACTGTGAGAAGACAAATTTCTTATGGCAGCTCTGGAAGATGAATACTTGATCCAATAAACATCCATCTTCTCCTCCCTTTCTTTTTTTTAAACCACTTTGAGTAATTTTTTTCTGTACCTTATAGGAATTCTAACTGATAAACTGGTTGAAAGTAATTGTGATGAATCTGACCAATTAAATCAATGATTTTGGTGATGAAAGTTTAGCATCAAGTGGTAGGGACCCTGCCTAACAAGTGCAAGGCCCTGAGTTCAAACTCCAGGACTGCAAAAAAAAATTTAGACTCAGTGGGAGGAATTCTCAAGGTAAGGACCCAGGAGAAGTCTTGAGGTCTTTCACATGTAAAGGCTGACAAATGAACAACCTGTGAAAGGGGACAGCTGAGTGACAAAGTCCCTTCTCCAGTTCTAATGCAATCCTTTTCTTTTTCTTCCTTCCTTCCTTCTTTCCTTCTTTCCTTCCTTCCTTCCTTCCTTCTATCTTCTTATTTATATTTATTTATTTACTTACTTTTCTTTCTTTGTCCCTCTCTATTTTTATTTATTTATTTGCTTACTTACATTTGGCAGTACTGGGCTTTGCTCTTACAAGGCAGATGTTCTATGCTTGAGCCATACCTCCAGCTCTTTTTGCTCTGGTTATTTTGCCATAGGGTCTCACTTTTTTGTTTGGACCATCCTGGATCATGATCTTCCTAGTTTATCCTTTTCTGTCATCTCTGGGGTGACAGGCATGCCACACCATACCAAGCTTCCCTACCTGCATCCCCTTCCACTTTCTGAGATGGATTTTCATGCTTTTTTTTTTTTTTTGCCCAGATTGAGCTGGATCCATCAACCTGCCTCCCAATCTCAGCCTCCCAAGTAGGATCACAGGCAGGAGTCACAAGCACCTGGTACAATCCACTTTTTGATGAAGTCAAAATGAGCTGACATCTCTACCTTCACTGGACTTAACTCTGAGGCCTTGGAGCAGATTGAGACCCTGGGCCATCTTGCTTTTATGGATAGCTGATGTATCACAGCACAATTCACGAGTTTGACTTCTTTCTATGCTGTCATTCTAAGGTCAGTCCAGCTTGGATGGGAAAGTGACACCCAACACTCACAGAATGTCTTATGGAAGTGCCGGGACTAGAAACTGAATCGTTCCCATCTCCAAGAGCACCATCATCCAACAGACAACCAACATGAGTCACAAATATAATTTCAAATTTGATGACAGCCACGCTGAGAAGGTAAAAGAAATAGGTAAAATAGATGTTAGTAATCTATTTTCTTAAAGCTAATCTATCCATCGTATTATCATTTCAACATGTAACCAACACAAAAATTGTTACTGAAATATCATCCATGTTTTTGACAGGGACCTCAGGGAGCCCCATGGGCCTATGTGTTCTGCATGGCCTCAGCCATCAGCATTTGGTTATCAGGGCATTTAACAGTTTTGCTTCAGGTCCCCACACCCTCCCCTTCCTGCACCCAGTTTCCAAGAGACCTCTTTTCATTTTGAATCTGCCTGTCACCCACATTTCTCCATTGAGTCTCACCACCTCATCCTTAAAAAAAAAAAAAATTTCAAACCGTTCTCCTAATGCAGCATGAGATTTCTGAGCTATGATTCACTTCACCTTTCAGCAGGGCTTAAGTGCTTTAATTTCTTTTTAAATAGAGTTAGGAGAAAAGTCAAACAGCCCAATTGAGAAAAATGTGAAAAGGATATTAACAAGCAATTCACATACAAGGAGATACATTTAGGGAAAAAATGCTCAGAGTCAGTAGCTGTTGGGAAAGTACAGATCCACACAATGTGTTTTCCCATCAAATGAGAAGCTGACATTTGAGTGCTGGTGAGGGAGGGTGCGGGGAAGTGGTACTCCTGAGACCCATGGGTGGGTGTGTTTGCAGCAGTTCTGGAGAACAATTTGACAGCATCTGAAAGGGCTGTGGCCAGCATTTCTTCTCTAGAGATGCTCTCATGTGAGCATCAAAAAGCAAAGAGGAGGACGTTTATAGTGGCATCATTTCTAGTGGGACAGATCTGTAATTACCAAAATGTCATTCAGTAGAACGATGTGTAGACACCCTGTTGCAGACTCACACTAATGACTATGACACTCTAGTTTAAAAGAACCTGCACGATCCATTTGTACTTAGACAGAACAAGCCCCCAAGTCACTCCTGAAGGTGGAAAAATAGCTTGAAGCATAGAAAGCACAGGGGATGTGGTACTGCTTTGGTCACACTACACGATACTAACGTATTTTCGTGGCTACTCACACATGTGTTTGTGATGACAGAGAAATTTCTGGAAGGAGTATATCAAGTTGATGACAGCGGATGCCTTTGGGGAGATTCAGAACAGAATGTGTTTCAGCTTGGTGGTCAGAAATGACGTCACCTCTAGCTGACCTTTCAAATCATTTAGAGGAAGCAATATTCATGTATTGTTGACTTTAGAATTAATGAGAAAAATGCAGCATGGGAGGACGTCCTCACTCTTCCTGGCAGTGAGAGGCACTTCCTGGGCTGTCTGCTCTCCTTCCATTTCACCTCGAGTGTCTGAGCCTTGGAAGGGTCCTAGTGCTGCCCTAACTCAAGATGTCACATCGGAGTCATTGTCTTCCAGACCTTGATTCCGACTGTAAAATAAGACAACGATGCCAGATGATCTCTCTTATTTTGCAACGACACCATGTCATGTCAAAATAACTAAATGGAAACTCCTCTTTCCAGAAGAGAGCTAATCTGATCGAGACTCCAAATCAGACAGGAATGGCTCATTCCAGTGACCATGTCTATAAAATGAGTTTGGCCAAATTTAACAGCTGTTATTTCACCATTAACAAGTGTCACAGATAATGATGCTCAGAAGAAGATATGATGGAAAAGGTTTAACACTTCATGGAAATGCCATCTGGTGTCAAATGTCACACTGTTGATGCGTGATCAAATGCAGAAGGTCCAATCTTCCCTAGTGGATTAAGGATGTCTGCTGGAGCAGGGCACTGCGCCTCTAAATAGCAGCAGTTGGAGCAGGGGACAGAGGAGCCCGTTCATGTCAACTTTATGTGGAACCGGCTTGAGTCAGTCCAATTTTGTGTGTAAATCTGATCATTCAACAAACATTGAGTGCCTGTTAGTTAGATGAGGTCCCTGTCCTCATCTACTAGTGGAGTTTAAAGTCCTCATCATACTAGTGGAGTTTAAAGTCCACTAGTAGATCTTTCCCATAGAACAATAAAACAGCAAACAATCATTGAGCAATTACACATGATTCCAGCCTGATCAGATGCACAAAACCTGCCCACCCCCACAAGTAGGTGTCATTTTTTTTAACTCCAGTTTAAAGATAAAGAAAGTAAGGCCCAGAGGTGTACTTTGTCTTACCTGGTGGCATACCTGGTTTTGGGGTGGGGGGCTTCTCACATTGTTTAATTCTGAAATAAACAAATGTTAGGAGCTGTCCTTTAGTATCTGTGGGAGGCTGGTTCTAGGAACCTTCCCGCCCCCACCATGGATACCTAAATCTGCAGATGTTCAAGCCCTTGTCTTAAATGGTGTAGTGTTTGCATACAACCTACTTGGCATATTTTTGTAATCTCTAGATTACTTATGGTACCTAATGCTGGGTACTTTAGTCCGCTTCCCATCACTATAACAAAATGCCAGAGAGAATTAACTTACAAAGAGAGAAAGTTTCTTTTGGCTCATGCTTTTCGAGGTTCCAGTCTATGATCAGGTGGCCCTTTGCTTTTAGGTCTTTGTAGGTGGGGATGCCAGGTGGCAGTGGTGGGAAGAATGTGGTGGAGAAATGGCTGATCTCATGGCCAAGAAGCCAAAGAAGAGGAGGGGCTGGAGTCCCACAATTCCCTTCACATTGCCAATGACCTAAGTGGCTCCACCTCTTAAAGGTTGCACTACCTCCCAGTAGCACCTCCCACCCTGGGGACCAAGCCTTTAACACATGGGATTTTTGGAGAAATCAACCATCTAAACTATAGAACTATATAAATAATTATTAATTAATAATTAATATGGATGTGACCATCATCTACCTAACTGCATGTTTGGTCTGTGGTTGATCAGATGTCAAACTCAAGGATGCTAAGGGCTGATGGGACACAACGGCAAACTGTGATAGGTGACATGAAGAAAAGGAGCAGACTGACTGGTGTAAGAAAAGAAACAGATAGCAAAGCTGGAGATGGAGCTCAGGGCTAGGAGCGCTCAGCTGGCAGGTGCGAAGCTCTGGGTTCCACCCGCCCCCACACACAAATAAAGGGTGGGATAATTAGGAGGAGGTGGGGAAGGGAAGGTATCTCTGAAGAAGTGATCTCCAAGCTGAATGTGTATTCCTGGAGGAATAGAAAGCATAAAAAATGTGATGAGAAGAGGGGAGGACACAGTGGCCATGGTTGTGATCCTGGACCCCTCTGTGGATTCACCAGAGTTCTGTCCTCAGTCCTGAGCGCTCTGCCCTCCCCTTTCCTTAAGCCTGTGACTTAATTTTTTTGCTTATTATCTTTAACCGCTACCTAATAACTATGAATTTAGAGGGTACAATGTGATATTTCAGTACATGTATAAAATGTATAATGATCAAATCAGGTGATTAGTACATCCACCACCTCAAATATTTTGGAACATTCACAATCGCCTCATCTAGATATTTTGAAATCTACAAAAAAGTTACTGTTAATTATGCAATAATCATTGTTATTGTCACCTACTTTGCTATAGAACACAAGAAATTACTCTTCCAGTCTGTTAACCAACCCCTCTCCATCACACCCTCCCTTTATTCTTCTCTCTATACCTATGACATTGACTTTTTAAAGCTTCCATACATGGGTAAGAACATGAGATATTTGCATTTCTGTGTCTGGCTTCTTTCTCTTCACATAATGTCCTCCAGGCTTGTCTATGTTACTTCAAATGAAAGGATTTCATTTTTCTTTAACGATGAATAATTTTCTGAGTTTGTAGTCCACATAGTCTTTACCCATTCATTGGCTGATGGAAAAGAAGGTACATCTTTGACAGAGATCTTAGAGATGGAGATGAGGGAGTCAGCATGAGTTGCTAGAGTGAGCGCTGTTAAAAACAAACGTTTATCTATTTCATAAATTTGCCTAGATCTGCCCTTTTCATTAGCATGATATCTAAGTAGTCTCAAAAAGAACCCAGCAGTGAAGCATCAATCCATCGGAGGCTGCCTTCTATCTAGTGGTCAATCATGGCAGGTTTGGCATTCACCAAATTGACCAACATCCCAGAGGCCAGTTCCCACTTTTTGAAGATATATGACAGACTTGAGGCCCAGGTCTGAGGGGTCACCCATGAAAGCCTGACCTCCTTGCAGATCCATTGTAAAAGAGTTTTGCAGCTAGAAGCTTGGAGACCATCTTTGTTGATGACACCACACTTCTGTACCAAGCTATTAGAAATAATCCTTGAGAAGTTTAGAGCTGACCCATATTTCTACTTTCAGCCAGAATTATTCCTCAAACCAATCCAGTGCAAGTCCTGTTGAGGGAATCTTTGAGCAGACCCTAAAGGAAAGATTTAAGATGATGAAGAAAGGCAGGAAAGACGCAGCAAACCAAAGAAGAGACACCATGCCATAGTCAATTATTCTTTGTAAATACTGTTAAGAATGGAATGCTTTTTGTCCCATCAAAATTCATGTTTTGAAGCCTGTGTTCTTGAGGAACTGATATTCAGAGGGGGTGGGGGGGGCCTTCCCAAGGTCACCCTTAGCCCAGTGGTGGCATTCAGAGCTGGTGAGAGAATGCTGTGGGTGAGGAAGAGACTTCCTGAAAATCCCTTTGAGTTGTGGGATGGAGCTCCAGAGCTCAGGGACTGAGCTGTGCCTGGGAATCTTTCCAGACCTGAAAAGAAGGAGAAATCGGAACAGGGGAAAGAACCAAAGAGACAAGCACAGAAAGTGACACTCATGGTTCTTAGGCTAGAGTCAGAGTCCCACTCGCTCCACTCTGAAGACCCCCAGACCCCATCCTCAAGCCGCGCTCCTACATACCACTTCTGTCTGGGTTTTCAGTATTGTGTGGTGTGCCCCAGGGTTCTTGATGGACTTAAAGTTCAGGAAGAGGCCATTTCAACCGTGAACCAGCTTAGAACCCAAGACTCTGTCATGCTGGGTTATG